TTCCGTGTCCGGCAACGGATCACAACCCTCAGTGCTGCCCCCGTACCAGACCGGGGACTGGCAACAGGATCGCAACCCTCGGCATTGCTCCGGGAACCGGTCTGTACGTGGGATCCGAACCCTCGGACGGGAGCGCCGCCGCGCTTCCCAAGCGGCGCACTATCCAGTGCGCCACCGGGCCGGCCCCATATGTCTATCTTTTATGGACCCCAAATATCCATAAATAAAGTCACAGTACCAATGAACCAATTTTATCTATTTTACGTGTCAACAAAGACTCCCTCCTTGACCAAACTATAGTCAGGATCCTCTAAGTCCTCTTCTTAATCAGGCCTTATCTCATGAGCCCAGTTTTAGCAAAGAATCCTGCTGTCTGCTAATGGAGAGGCTCCCCCTTGATATCTGATCAAGTTCCTCATCCCCTACCCTTGATATCTGTCTTTGGCCTGCTGTTACCAAGAATCCTGATAAGCAAGTTTAGCAAGAATCCCCTCTATCCTTGACATCTCATCAAGTTCTTAGTACTTTTCCATCCATTGACCCCTTCACTCTGTTCACTAGCTATAAATCCCCAGCTCTCTTTGCTGTATTCAGAGTTATGTTCACATTCTCTCCTCTATTGCAACAGTCTGGACTCCATCGCAATGGTCTTGAATAAAGTCTTCTTTACTGTTTTAAAGAAGTGTCAGAATAATTTTTCTTTTACAGTGATTTAGTTAGCCTCTGGGAAGGCTGACTTCTGAATATTATTCCAAAATAACTCCTCTTGCACCAATGGGGTTGGGAGGAGCTCAAAATTAGTCTTCACATGTATTTTTGGTCATTTTGTTTGTTTTGGGAGTTAGGCACCCTTAAAAATTAAAGAGGCCCTTTCTATAATGTTTGCTTGGGAGCTTTAAATTTAAACATCTATCAGGGTTATCAGACAAATATCGGTCTGGACCCATTGTGAAATATGCTATAGAACCTTTTATTTCATGTTTGAGAAACTTGTAAATTTCTCCAGCATGCAGTAAAAATAATGGGTAACAAGTATATGAATAAAGAAATTTATAGCTATCTTAAGGAAAATGAATACAGCTATTCTTCTTTAAATTGCTTTTATTATCCAGTTGAAATGTTATTATAAACATCTAGTCTATTTTCACACAAATGATCAAGAGTACACACTGATAAAGACATGCATTGGGTAAGAATCATTACTGGTACATACATAAACACCCTGGGATTTGAGCATAAAACACAATGTCACTTATGTGGCTCCAGCAGTCTAAAAAGAGCCTTCAACTGACATTCACATGTATTTCCTAATTTAAATTGTGTTAGAAACATTGCATCTACATTGAGAACCATATGCCATTAACAGAAGAGGAAAGAACTGTGGGCAACAAAGCAGTGGATTTTTAGTTGTATACTAAGGTTTAGTTTTGGCATATTGAAAGTATCATGTTTTCCTATTAGATTTCTAAATTTGTGAACAAATGTTAACAGTTGCTTTTCTTTCATCATGACTTTGCTCATCCTATATTTGTCTGATATTTGTGGGAAAATACAATCCTAGTTTTATTTTGTATATTTATTTTTTGGATTTTTTTTATTATTGCTCAGTGAAGGTACTATCCAAATTTTTTTTAGAAGAAAAAAGAAATAACATGTAAATTGAACACATTCCTTATATATTTTTACCATGTCAAGGAGTCATTCACAATATGATATAATCATCACTTTTCCAAGGAGCGTTGCATTTTTTGCCTTCTTTGAATATTTTTCTTTCCTGTAATAAAATATCATTTCTCTTTAGAATGGTCATGTAGGATACATTTGGCAAATATCTGAGATCAAGATTTTATTTTCAATATTCCATCTCTCTTTTAGTGAGTAAGCTCTTTTTCTTCATGTGACATAGAACACAAAATATATTAAACATTGAGCACACTTACTATGAAACCTAAATTACATTTTACATGGGTGCGCATTTGGCTGACAAAACATTTGTTGAAAACACTGTGTGTGATATTTAATTGTGTCAAAAATATATTTATTGTGAGTCCTTTATTGTTTTAGCATTATGAACAAATATACACAAAGTAAAGAATTATTACCAAAATTTTGCTTGAAACTGTTTTGATTGAAACTGTTTTTGTTTTTTTGAAACTCAAAACTCATTAGCAGGAAATGTGTAAAGTTGTGTGAATCATTGATCCACATGATTCTGTCTGTGAAAAAATAAATACAATGTAGAATAAATAGATTTGTAGTAAAATCTAAAGGTTTTTGCCCTTTGTCAAATAAATAAATAGCATGACTTCAGTTTGTTTTATTCTTTCACATGATCTAGTAAATGATTTTTTTAGCTGCCAAAAGGGTGTTCTTCAGAAGCATTGCCACTGTCATGGGTCCCACGCCTCCTGGAACTGGAGTGATAAAGCTAGCTTTCTTCTTAACAGCTGATGGAAGAAACAAAAGATTCTTTATTTTTAAACTTATCTAAGAATTTTATATCTTTAAACATGTCAAATAGAGTGGATTATTCTACATTATACATATAACTCTAACAACCTCAAATCATTTTTAGAATGAAGCAGGCTATAATAAACACACAAACACATATTTAAACAAACACTTCTATGTGTGATATCTAAGGTGGATGGAAGGAGACCAAGATTGTAGGTTCAATCTCCACATAGCTCAGTTATTTTTACATGATGAAAAGCTATAACCCATGACTGACTCAATGTAATTCCAATTAACTAGCTCTAAAATACATGGTATTGGTCACAAAGGGGAGAAAAGATATAGACAGTTCAGCACATACCATTCATTAAATTGAATTATTCCTGTTATAACAATATCACCAGGTATGTCTGGATAATACATTCCATTGCAAGTCTAATAAAAATCATTAAGTGTTTTTGGAGCATATACACAGTCCTGTTCAAAGGTATGCAGACTTCTTATTCAGTGAATACACTCCAAGAGAATGACAGAGAACTTTCAGCAACTTTTATTTAAGAATGTTTTCACACCCACATTATTAGAGGTGAATGGCTCCATGCATTCACCGACTTGATGGTTTAATGCTTTACCATGTGAATAAGAGCAATGAAGTTTTTCCAGGTAACTGTTAGTACAATGTTAGCATAGACAATTCTTCTTTAATACATAATTCTGACATTACCATGTTATTTAGATGTATTGCCTTTTATAAGTTTGCTTATATGAGTATATACTTCCACATGAATCAGAACCAACAGATGTTTTCTAGCTCTTACATATTATTCTTGCACAATTTATATTGCGCTCTTGAACAATCATTTGTAAAATTTACCTTTACCTCATTTGAAGTAGAATAGTAGACTGGAATAATTTTTTTTGCCTTTCATAGGAAAGGCAAAATAATAATTTTTTTTATTTGAATCCAAATAAGCTTAAATGCATCACACACAAAAAATCAAGCTAGTCTGTATCACAAATCTGCTGATTGTATGTTATAAAGAAAAGATAAGAATACTGTGATTTAGGAGGTAGTATTTCAGTTTTCCAAAAAACGTCTCCATACATGGAACACATCCTTTTTATTGCCATACTTCCATCCAGTGCCCTCTATGCTGCAGAAACACTGGACTGAGTCAGCAGCCATTCCACAAATACCTATGAATATTGGGTTCTTTCTTCCTTTGTGCTAGCTCTTCCTTCCACCTGGAATATTCTTCCACCTTATCTAAATAAGAAACCCCTTATTATTCTTTAAAAGCCAGTAAAATGTTATCTGTCTATAATTTTTCCCAAAAACTCACCCCTCTAATATTGAATTGAAAGTTCCACCATCTATGTTTCTAGTAATTTTATACCTACCTCCATTATGGAACTTAATACATAGTACTGTCTGTTCCCTTAACTAGTCACTGGCACCTGGAAGGCAGAAGGCAAGTTGTGGTGGTGGTGGTGGTGTTCAGTCTTAGAACTTCTCCATGTTAGACATTCAGTCAAATTTTGATAAAGTGAACTAAATAGCCCTTATATAAAATCTAAAATCAATTTGCAGAAATGTTTCAGTGCTTTTGACTGGATATAAACAATCTCAATTAAGTTGAAGCTAATTTACTGAAAAACTCAAGCAACTAATTTTTCTTGAGGGTGATAAACTGCATTTTTCACTTTTTAATAAGCTGACTCGGCACAAGCAATTCCTTCTGGGACCTTTTCTCAAGCATTGGAGAAGCAATGCCTTAAAAACTTCAGCAAAGCTTTAGAAGAAATGTATTACCACTACTATTTATACTGATAGTATATAAAATCATATATTTGTAAAGCAGTAACTTTGAAATATTAATACATAAAAATAAAATCCTAGTGAATAATATAGTAAATTAATAATCAAGTACAAACTATCTCTTCAGTGGAAAACAAAATGGTTTATTTTAAAATAAAATGTGGAATACAATTGGTTATTTCAGGGAATCTATTGTGAGTATATAATTGTTTTTATATGGTTTGTTTTCAACTTTGAAAGATAAAGTGGCTTGGATATTACTTGTATATAGAAAAATAGTAATAATCATAACTACTACCAATTGAGAACCTATTACTTGCTGAGAATTTTATATACATTATTTTAATAATTAATATTTAATTATTTCATTTTAATAGATGAGGAAATTGTGGCTCACTGAAGTTACAATGACTTACCACTCTTTCATATGGCATAGACATTATCCACACCTAGGTCTGAAACATTCTATAATTCCATAATTCCATCCCATCCCAATGGAACTGTATTATCATGTCCTGAACAAGGAGAAAAGTCCTAAGAATGGCTCAAGTACCAGAAAATAACTCAGTTTTCTTAAAGTGTTAGGAGGATAGTTTGAAAAATAAAACAAAGAATAAAATATTCTAATATATTAATTTTCCTTCGTTTTTTATTGCGTGTAGTCATAGCTCGTCATCTTGCACTTCAAATTACACATCCAGTTTAGCAGTCTGAGTCGCTTTATTCCTGGTTATCAGATAAACCACTGGTTCGCTCGGGTACATGACCCTCCTCTTCCAAATTGTGTTTTTCACAACATGTTTACTATTCCATTTTTTTGCTCAAAAAGTGAGGTTTGTGCTAAGGAAGAGGAAATGGAAATGAGCTGTGTGTGAAATTAGACCTGCCTGAAACTTTTAGCTCAGTGCCTGCGTTTTTGCACTTTACTGGTAGAAACTAACACACATAAATCCTGTTCTGCCTATCACTTTCCATAGACTTAGATTATGTGATGGGTAATGGGTCTTCATCTGGCCTGGGCTAGGGCTTCTCTTAACATCAATAAGCATTTAATAGCATCAGTGAGGCCCTGTAAACTCACTAGGCAGAAGATTATGATATCACTGTGCACACACCTGGTTATTCAAATACTTGTTTCACATATTTTTTTATCTTTGAAATAAAATGGACAGACATGAAGATAAAGTTTGTAAATGGTTAAGAGAAGTAGAGAGGGATGAATTTGATTAAAAAAAAATATATATATATATTAGGTCCTATTCCTTTTGATTTGATTATCACGAGAATCTAGGTCTGAGAAAGAAATGTAAACTCATCTGCTCCTGGCTAGTGTTAATGTATTCTTTGTCTATTTACATAAGGATCAGAATATGGAAGTATGGGATTTCTCAAGAAACGTGGGAAATTACTGGCAAATGCCAGTAGGTACAGATGCCAATGCTCAGAAAAAAACTAATAATTTTGCGTAACTATTTCAGGGCTATCCTAAGCAATGTGTTTATGAGATAACAGAGGTGGCTTATGGGCTAAAATTAATAATGTGAGAAAGAGTTAAATTCAATTCATGTTTTATGCTCTGAAAAGCGTCTTCCCCAATCATATCTGAAAGAGAGTGAGTTGGGCCGGCACCGTGGCTCACTTGGGAGAGTGCGGCGCTGGTAGCGCCGAGGCCACGGGTTCGGATCCTAATAGGGATGGCCGGTGCGCTCACTGGCTGAGCGTGGTGCTGACGACACCGTGCTGAGGGTTGAAGTTAACAAGCACTACATCACCAGAAAAACCTCTCATTGGCTGGTCTTTCCCTCAGGGCAGACAAGGGTTTGCACCTGCTTGTAGAAGGTGATGCTTTTAAAGATTAATTCTATTGTGTGGGGGGAAAAGGTGTTCTATATGCTCCATTTAAAAGAAATACAGAAGCATTATAGGGCAGTAATTTCCTTCAGAGACTTATTTACTGTGGGTGTAGCTGTGAGAGAGCAGGCTTGTGTGTTTAAGGAAAATACCAAAAATTCTGTGTGCATAAGAATCACGTACTAGATCTGGATTGATATCAGCACCTCCATGAGAAGCTATTCAACATATACGGCATAACCAGGGTTAGATTCGATTTTATAAAGTCAACATGATTATAGAGTTAACTGAAACTGTTTGACAATTGAGACAAATAAAACAATAATCAAATCCTACTGTGTGCATGGAACTTGCTCCGGGGAATGAGACTTAGATGGAAATGACTTGGTGATGTTTAAAGCAAGTTCCTGAAAATAAGAATATTTTGAGGAAAGGCAATAATTATAATGACAATTTATTTGAATGACCTCTCTGCAAACTTTAGGCCCTGCAAAGTAAATTCCATAGTTTCATTGAAAGTGCTATGGCTTTATCAGCATGATTTAGAATGTTAAGAGTCTGTATAGAAAAAAAAGGATTATTTTGGGTGTAGAATTTGCCTTTGTACATATTATTCTCTTTGTCTAATATGCCCTTCCGTCACTTCTCTGTCTGATAAACATTTATCCTTACTTCTCAGATCTAACATAAATGTCACTTCTCGGGCTGAGTTAACCATTCATTGATCGATGAAACTTAGTAGAGTCATTTTCAATGTGCAGTCACAGGATACCTTGGAATTTTCTGTGAAATGAGGTCAAACTACATATGCCTCTTCCCATCCCAAGATTCTAGTATGCACCACAGGAATCACTGTGTGAAGTGAGAGATGCTTCCAGTGCTAAGGGAGGAGTGTTATACATGTAAATAGGGTGGAGGAAGCTTAAAGACTGGTTGCGATTCACTTCTCCAGTGAAGCTACTTTATGTGGTGGCCTCAGGTTGCCAGTCAAGTCCCAGGGAAACCCCAATGTGCAAATGCTTTTCACACCTCTGTATTTGCTAATGTCCCACTGGCCAAAGCAAGTCACAGAGTCAAGCTCAAATTCAAAGGTTTGGGATAAGAAGAGTGGCAAAGTCACATCACAAAGGGATGTGCATAGAGGGACAGAAGAAATGTGTGGCCATTTCTTATAATCTACCAATGTAGTCTAGTCCACAATATCAGCCATACAATCTGCTGCCAGATTTATTCTTGAAAACGCAGATATAAACATTTCAGCTTATACACATTTGATGGATTTTCATCATCTCTAAGATAAAATATAAATTCTTTGCATGGCAA